GATTTATTGTTTGTGTATAGGAAGGCTACTGACTTTTGCGTGTTGATTTTGTATCCTGCCACTTTACTGAATTGATTGATGAGTTGAATTAGTTTTTCTGTGGAGATTTTGGGGTTCTCTATGTATATTATCATATCATCTGCAAATAGTGATAGTTTGACTTCTTCTTTTTTTTTTTCTGTAGTTGTATATTTTATTTATTTTTTTGTTTGTTTTTTTTTTTTTTTTTTTAAATATTAAATTTATTTTATATTCCCCCATACAATTGCAAACTCCCCATTCTGACCCCAATCCTCCCCTCCGCCCCCACCCCCCAAAAAGTGTCTCTGGTTCATAGTTTTTTTGTTGATTTTGATTTTCACTTTCTTATATTCATTTTCCTGGTCCCTTATTTAAGTTTCTAGATTCCTGCTATGAGTGAGACCATCCGGTATTTTTCTTTTTCTTTTTGGCTTATTTCGCTGAGCATGATAGTTTGACTTCTTCTTTTCCTATTTGGATTCCTTGGATGTCTTTCTCTTGTCTTATTGCTCTGGCTAGGACTTCCAGTATTATATTGAAAAGCAGTGGTGAGAGTGGACATCCTTGTCTTGTTCCAGATCTTAATGGAATTGCTTTCAGCTTTTCACCATTGAGAATGATACTGGCTGTTGGCTTGTCATAGATGGCCTTTATGATGTTGAGGTATATTCCTTGTATCCCAAGAATTTCAAGGGCTTTTATCATGAATGGGTGTTGCACTTTGTCGAAAGCTTTCTCAGCATCTATTGATATTATCATATGGTTTTATATTTCTTTTTGTTGATGTGTTGGATAACGTTGATTGATTTTCGGATGTTAAACCATCCTTGTGCCCCTGGAATGAATCCAACTTGGTCGTGGTGAATTATCTTATGGATACATTGTTGGATTCTGATAGCTAAAATTTTATTGAGGATTTTTGCATCAGTGTTCATTAGGGAGATTGGCCTATAGTTTTCCTTTTTTGTGTTGTCCTTATTCGGTTTTGGTATTAGTGTAATATTGGCTTCATAGAACGTGTTTGGTATTGTCCCTTCCTTCTCAATTTTTTGGAAGAGTTTGTGAAGGATAGGCACTAATTCGTCTCTGAATGTTTGGTAGAATTCATTTGTAAATCCATCAGGTCCTGGGCTTTTGTTTTTGGGGAGGTTTTTAATTACCATTTCAATTTCGCTGCTTGTAATTGGTCTGTTTAGGTGTTCTATTTCTTCTTTATCTAGCTTTGGGTGATTGTAGAGTTGTAGGAATTTGTCCATCTCCTCTAGATTGTTGAACTTGTTTCCATATAACTGTTCATAGTAGTTACTGATTATTCTTTTGATTTCTGCTGTGTCCGTTGTGATTTCTCCTCTTTCATTTATGATTCTGTGTATTTGTGCTTTCTCCCTTTTTTCCTTTGTGAGCCTGGCTAGGGGTTTTGTCTATTTTATTGATTTTTTCAAAGAACCAGCTCTTGGTTTCATTGATCTTTTGGATTGTTTTTTTAGTTTCAATTTCATTTATTTCTGCTTTGGTTTTATTATTCTTTTCTTCTACTGTTCTGGGGTTTTTGTTGTTTTTTTAGATCTTTGAGCTTCGAGATTAGGTTGTTTCTTTGAGTTCTTTCTTGTTTCTTGATGTGAGCTTCTATTGCTATATATTTTCCTCTTATTACTGCTTTTGCTGCATCCCATACATTTAGGATATTGGTGTCCTCCTTGTCATTCAATTCAAAGAATTTTTTAATTTCTTCTTTGATCTCCTCGTAGTCCAGTGGTCTTCCAGTAGTGTGGCTTTTAATCTCCATGAGGTAGGATAGTTCCTTGCCTTCTTTTTATGATTTATTTCTAGTTTGATGCCTTCGTGGTCAGAAAAGATGGTTGGTATGATTTCAATCTTGGTGTATCTGTTGATGTTTGTCTTGTGCCCCAGTATGTGATCGATCCTGGAGAATGATCCGTGTGCGCTTGAGAAAAATGTGTACCTCGTTTTTTTTGGGTTTAGTGTTCTATAGATATCTGTTAAGCCCAAATGCTCTAGGTCCTTATTTAGAGCTTTAGTTTCTTTACTTATTTTTTGTCTTGTTGATCTATCCATTGTTGATAGTGGTGTGTTGAAGTCTCCCACTACATATGTGTTTTCTCTGATGTCTGTTTTCAGAGAGGACAACAGTTGTCTGATATATTTTGGTGCTCTTTCGTTTGGTGAGTATATGTTAATGAGTGTTATTTCTTCTTGAAGTATTGTCCCCTTAATCATAATGTAGTGACCATTGGGTCTCTTTTTATTTTTTTGAGTTTGAAGTCTGTTTTATCTGATATAAGTATAGCTGTTCCTGCTTCTTTTTTGGCCCATTTGCTTGTAGGATTGTTTTCCATCCTTTGACTTTGAGCCTATTTTTATCTTTCGTAGCTATATGTGTTTCCTGGAGACAGCAAAAGGTTGGGTTTTGTTTCTTAATCCAGGCTGCAACTCTGTGTCTTTTTATTGAAGAGTTTAGTCCATTTACATTTAGAGTTAATATTGATATGTTAGCATCTGTATTTGCCATTATGTTTGTCTTTCCTTTGATTTTATTTATTTATTCTTTTAATAACTTTTTTTTTTTTTTTGGTCTTCTTTCGTTGTTATTCGTCCCTCTGAGGTTCTGGCTTTAGGATTCCTTGTAGTATTTTTTGGAGTGGGGGTTTAGTCGCAATGAAATTCTGGAGTTTCTCTTTGTCTGGGAAGGTCCATATTCTTTCTTCATGGAGGAAAGAGAGCTTTGCGGGATAGAGTATTCTTGGTTGGCATCTGTTTTCTTGGAGTCTGTTGACTATGTCCCTCCACTCTCTCCTTGCCCGTAGTGTTTCTTCAGAGAAGTCTGATGTCAGCCTGATTGGTTTTCCTTTGAATGTTATCTGTTTCTTCCCTCTTGTCAGCTTCATTATTTTTTCCTTGTCCTGGATTCTTGGGAGCTTTACTATTATGTGTCTTGCTGTGTTTTTCCTTTCGTCGTGGAAGTTTGGTGTTCTTCTTGCTTCTTGTATATCAATTTTCAGCTCCTTCTTCTCATTTGGGAAGTTCTCTTCAATTATATCCATGAATATTTTCTCTGTTCCTACATCTCTCTCCTCTCCTTCTGGAATTCCTATAACTCTTATATTTCCTTTCCTCATGGAGTCAGATAGTTCCCGAAGTCTTTCTTCATTCTTTTCCTTCGTACTTCTCTTTCCTTTTCTGTTTTGGTTCTTTTATTTCTGTGTCTTCAAGATTACTTATTCGTTCTTCCATTTCATCTATTCTGCTTTCATTGCTTTTCCCAGAGTTCTTTAGTTCCTCCATTAATTCTTTGATCTCCTGCATTTCTCTTACTTCCCTCTTTAGGGACTCAATTTCCTTCTTCTGATCTATCACTTTTTTAATCATGGCAATTTTAAATTCTCTTTCTGGAAGGCTCAGAAGTTCTTCCAAGTTGCTGTCGTTGCAATCTGGGGAGTGGTTTTCTTTTTGTGGTGTGCTTCTTTCCTGAGGAGTTTTTAGGTTGCGTGTGGTTCTTCTACTCCCTACTGTCTGTTTTCTAATTTGTCGTATGCGTTGGGACACTGTGTTGCTCGGACTGACTGACATCTTGGGTGAACTTCTCCGCTCCCCTCTGGCTCTTCCAGGAGCCATCTCTGTCTTCTGGGGAGCTTTCTGCTGGTTTTAGGCAGTTTTTACTGAAGAAATGTCCCTGTTCTCAAATGGCGAAGCGGGATGCAGTCCCTGCGCCTCCGTTTTCAGGCACACTCTTCTGCGCCCCCGGTCTGCCCCGGACGTGGGTGCCTGCTCCCTCTGTGGGCTCAGACTGCTGGTCGGAAGGGGCCTGGCGTGGAATAACTTCCCGGCTGGCCACTGGGTCCTCCAGAAACCTTCTGCCCTTTTCAAGCAGTCTTAAGAAATGTCCTGTTTTATAGGGTGTTAGTGACTTTTTTTTTTCCTGGTCACTAGGTGGCGCCAGAGATCTCTCCTATTGGCCTTGGGGGGCTGTTTTTCGCCTCCCCCCACCCCGTGGGACAGAGAACAGAGCGGGAATGGTAGGGTACACCTCAACAGCTTTGGGGTGCTGTGTCTGCCTTGTGCCCCACCGTCGTGGAGAAACCACGCCCCGAATTTTTGTGCCCCGGGTCTCAGTTCAAAGCCCTCAGTTCCAGGACGTGGGCTGTAGCCCAGTTCAGTGGCGCGGGAATGGCGCCTTTTGCACAGCTCCCGTGCCTGGGCGCCTGGTTCCTGCTCACTCAGGGAGGGACCTTCACCTCAGTGAGGACCTCCGTGCGTCTCCCCGCAAGCCTAGGTCGCAGGCGCGGGGACCTGGCAGCCGCGATCCAGGTCTGCACTTGCTTTTCAAGCTCCCCGAGCGCGCCGCGTTTCAGCGCCAGCTTACCGGCAGCCAGGGCTGTGTGCGCGTTTCCCGGGGTCTTTGTTCTTCTCTAATGGAGCCCGGAGCCGTTCGCTCACCGCCGCGGCGGATCCTGCAGGGTTCGCCTCAGCTGTTCACGGGGTGTGGTGGCTGCAATAGTTCCTTTCCACTCCCAGTCCCGCTTGCTGCGTCGTTTGTTCTTGTGGGCCGTTTTGGTTTGTTGTTTCCCTCCTCTCTGCGGGTCGGAGAGTGCTGCCTCTGTGGGGAGGGAGCAGGGTTCTGCCGATCCCTTATTTCTTTATATACTAAATAATATTAAATTGTCTGGATGTACCATAGTTGATTTATTCATTCACCTAGTATAGGGCATCGTGGTTGCATCTGAATTTTGGCAACTGTGATTAAAGCTGCCATACAGTTTGTGTGCAGATTTGTGTGGTCATATATCTCAAATCCTTTGGGTAAATGCCAAAGTACAAGATTGCTGATCATATGGGAAAAGTATGTTTAGTTTTGTAAGAAGCTACCAAACTGTCTCCCATATTGGCTTGCTATTTTATTTCTCACCATCCAGGGAGGAGAATTTCTGCTGCTCCATATTCCTCCCAGCATTTGGTGGTGTCAGGGTTCTGTATTTGGGCCATTCTAGTAAGTTTGTAGTTTTATCTCATTGTTTTAGTTTGTATTTCTCTATTGACATGTGATGTAGAACATTATTTCATCTATTTATTTGCCATCAGTGTATCTTCTTTGATGGTGTATCTGTTAAAATCTTTGGTCCATTTTTTAAAGTGAGTTATTTTCATATTATTTAGTTGTAAGAATTATTTTTATATTTTGGAGTACAATTCTTTATCAGATACGGCTTTTGCAAATATTTGTCCACTGTGATTTATAGTCCAATTCTCCTGATATTCTCCCCACAAAGCAGAAGTTTTAAGTTTTAATGAAATTTAGTTAATTATTTCTTTCATGAATCATATTTTAGATGTAGATGCTATATCTAAAATGTCAATGCCACAGTCAAGGTCATCTAAGTTTCCCCTGTATTATCTTCTAGGAGTATTACAGTTTTGCATTTTATACTACATTTAGTTCTACGATACATTTTGTGTTAATTTTTGTGAAGTGTATAATACTTATTTATTCATTATTTTACAAGTGGATGTCCAGTTGTTCCAGTAAAAATTTAATGAAAAGAGTTTACTACTTTATTAATGATCAGGTGGCTATAGCTGTGTACATTTCTTTCTAGACTCTATTCTTATCCATTAATCTCTTTGTTCTTTTCTAATACCACACTGACTTGGTGACTGTAGTTTTATATTAAGTCTTAAAGCTAGGTCACACTTCCCAGTTTATTCTTGAGCTTCAATATTGTGTTGACTATTCTAGGTCTTTTTACCACTATATACACTGTAGACCCAATTTGTCAATAGCCACAAAATTATTTGCTGGGTTGGAAAGATTATTTTTCCCTTGAGTACTGTTTTATCAAACAATAACAAGGGCAAAAAAGAACAAATGGTATTTTAAAAATGTTGGTGCTTTGATTATATGAACAATTATAAATCCAGTGGAATATTGGAATATAAGGCAGATTGAGCATATTTGGGAGATTTGAGTGAAAAAAGATACTAGAAACAAGTCTTTGACATTATGAAGGGAAAGTAGCTAGAGGGAGGAAAAGTAATCACTAGAATATGCCTTAGGATCCAAGATTCCTTTGAGGTTCATGAGCACTATCATTATCTTGGTATGTCACCTGTAAAATACAGAAAATAAAAAATTCTTGAATTTTTCTCTTAAAATCTAGAGAACTGAACATCTTAAGGGAAAACATAGTATAAAAGGAGAAAAAAATACTTGGTCACCAGATACGTCTGTGTTTGGACCATTGGTCTGCCATATGAAATTAGGTGTGCTATTAATTAGTTACTTATATTATTTGAGGCTTAGTTATAAAATGGGGGCAATAATACCACTTTATGGAGTTACTGAATGTGTAAATGAAGTTGTATACCCAGGTACTTAACAAAATATCTGGCATAGGGTAAGTGCTCAATAAACAGTACCTTTCATTATTATTATTATAGAACACCATCATAAAGGAGTATCATAGATAAATGATGCTATCTTCTTGATGACTTCAGCATTGCTGCTAAGCAGGACCACCTCACCTTGTAGCTGTTGCTACTTCATATTTGCTTACCTTTGGTTTGTACTCATATCCTTGATCCAATTGCCATGGCTAGAGAGTAACCTGGTTCTGCTCAACCTAGGATACAAGGTATAGTGGATATCCAGTAAGGTAGCAGTGATCATTTTGTAAACATCTTGATTGAAATACACATTCTATATGGGTTTTCTATTCTAGACATTTTATAGGAAATAAATGACATAACATGTCATCCAGTGACCATTATTCCTTCTCTCAGAATGTTTTCAGGGAATGTCCATGTTGTATCATGTTACAGTATTCCATTTCGTTTATTGTTGGATAATAGCACATTGTATGCACACCCTACATTTCATTTATCCATTCATCAGATGACAAACATTGTATGGATTTCTACTTTTTGCCTATTATGAATAATGCTACTAAAACATTCACATCATGTTTTGTGTGGACGTATGTTTTCATTTACCTTGGATCCATACTAAGGCGTGGGGCTGCCCAATTAATGGTAATTATACATTTAACTGTTTAAAAAATCACCAGATTTCTCCCCCCAAAGTATAAAATTAATATGGCATAGCCATATTAGTCAATGTATGTGAGTTCCAATTTTTTTCCTACTTCATCAGATGTTGTCTATTTAATTTTTTTATATTTTTATATTTATTTTTATTTTTTATCTGCATTTATTTATTTTAATTTTATTTTTATATTCCCCATAAATTGCAACCCCCTTATTTTGACCCCAATTCCTCCTTTCCCCACCCCCATAGATTATCTCTGGTTCATAGTTGTTTGTTGATTTTGATTTTTACTTTCTTATAGTTATTCTTTTTTCCTGGTCTCTTATTTAAGTTTTCTAGATTCCTGCTATGAGTGAGACCATTTGGTATTTTTATTTTTCTTTCTGACTTATTTTGCTGAGCATGATCCCTTCCAGCGCCATCCATGTTGCTGCAAATTGCATGTGTTTATCTTTTTTGAATGCTGAGTAATATTCCATTGTCTATCTTTTTAATTTATTGTTGTAGCTATTCTAGAGAGGGTGAAGTGGGATTTCATTGTAGTTTTGACTTGCATTTACCTGATGATTAATGATGTTAAGCATCTTTTTTATATGCTTAATGACGATTGCAGATCTTCCTTGGAGAAATGTCTATTTAAAATATCTAATTTTTTCAAAATATTTCTCATTTTTAAATAGAATCATTCCTTTGTTACAAGATTTTTATTTTATTTTTCTGTAGAAGTACTGGGGGTGAGAGGATTCACTAGAGACAGAGTGGGGAACAGAACAGGCAAACTGACTGAAATACACTGCTGAGGGGAGCAACAGATGAGACAGGAGAGGTCTGCTGTGCCATGTGGGTTAACTCCTGGCCAGGGATCAAACTCATGCTGCTTCACCTGACTTGGTGATAGCACTGAGATTTTAACACCCAGGCCATAAGGGTGGCCCCTATTTCTCTCTCTTTTTTTAAATTTGTAATTTTGCCTTCTTCTTATTAGGTTGTTTGGGTTCCTTATGTATTATCTTTATATATTCTTGATGCAAATCCATAATCAGATATGTGATTTGCAAATATTTTCTCCCATTTTGTGCAATGTGTTTTCACTTTCTGTGTGGGTCTTTTCCTCTGATCAGTTTAGAATACATTGGCCACTAAGATCAGCAACTGAGAATTTATGGACTACTCTTAAGCCAGTTTACAGCAACTCTACTCTATGAACTACTTTTTTTCATGATGCAGGAATTAAGTGATTTACATAGAGGTGAAGTTGCATTTATGAAAGAAATTTACTCAGCATTAAAAAGGACCTTTCTCCTCAGATTTCCCACAGTTGCACTATGGGATCACATGTTAGGTATTTCACAGAAACTGAAGATTAGGCCCCTTTATGCCCTTTGCCATTGGTCTCCTTGAAATCATTTACTGTTTAAAATTCAATGGAGGGAGCATAGAATTTATCACTGTCACTGCTTACAGTATTCTGTGTGAAAAATAGCTTCCCTACCTGTAAGGCTGTCTAATTTCCTGTTTACTGTTTGATACAAAAGCAAGGCGAGTACCCTTAATATCTTGATCACTTATGTCAACTTCATTTTAAAAAAGTCTCAAATATGACTGTTACACTAAGTAAATTATTCAAGGTGATTCAAGAAAAAAATATTGCCAGGCATTCCACTCTAAGAAAGAGCATCACAAAAGTATTAACAGCCTTCATCTGAAGAAACTTTGAAGGCTCCATTTCTCATTCCATTGATCAGAGGCTAAAGAACAAGATCTTGAAAATCAGCACTGGTGAGATTGTGCTGGGAAAGCTTTAGAGCTGGATTCAGTCAGAGATATAAATTTTGGTTTGGCTTGTCACTGATTTGCTTTGGGAATTTATGCAGCTGCCTTACGTGTGTATCTAACTTTGCTCTTTTCTAAAGTAATAATAATGACTTTTCTAGTGGGCAGTGTAGATTCTTGGCACAACTAGCTAGAAAGCCAGAGCCTTGGAAATTAGATGACTTGTTTTTAAAGTGGACTAGGCTCTATTGGGACTTGTTTTTTCTGGTTTCAGTTCATTGTCTGTAAGGGAATATGTTCTTCATGCTTTATAGTTGATATTAGTTACTAAGACCTTGAATTAACAATGTGATTTTTATAATTTTCTTCTGAAATAATTGCTTAATTAAACAAAACAGAATGTATTTCAGAATGGATGCATATGATTCATGTCAAAACATTTAAAGTATTACCCAAACATCAGGAGAATGAAATATCAACATGCTATAATTATCAAAATCTAACCTCTATAGCTCCCTTCCCATGTCATGTCTTGTTACTCTCAAATTAATTCTCCACATTTTCCTCTTGTGATCTTTCTGAAATAGAAATCTGGTCACATGGGGTGTTGGTAGCACCCAATAAATCCCCATTTCTGCCTAATATAGTCCAATATTCTTCACCCACCTCTGACACCTCTCCTTTCTCCAGGCTTCTTTATGGCTCCTCTAGGCTCTGCACCTAATACACTAGTAACAGTAAATTGTCAGCTGTACGTTTTCCCCAATGCTATTTCTTTGTGGAATGTCTTCCCTCTTTGCTTCATCAACTGTATTTTTTTAAGATTTATTTATTTATGCACACAAGAGCTGGGGCACAGGTCAGAGGTGTGGGGGGTGAGAAGATTCACCAGAGACAGAGCGAGGAGCAGAACAGGCAGACTGACTGAAATACACTGCTGAGGGGAGCAGCCAGCAAGTCAGGAGAGGTCTGCTGCACCATGTGGGTTGCTCCCTGGCCGGCCGGCCTGGGGATTGAACTCATGCTGCAGAGGCTGCAGACAGCTTCATAGGTTGTGTCTTAACCTCCTGAGCCACTGGGGAGGCACCCTCATCAACTGTATTTTAAAACTCAGCTCAAACCCTTTCCTTTCAGTCTGTGAGTCCAACATGGAGTTTTATGATCTGCTACAGTGTGCATATAATGCCTTTCTTGTTCATACATGTCTTTACTTTGCACTTAATCCATTTATTAAACTTTCTTTCACTGTATCCATTTCCTGTTGTACTTGAACTTCTCTGAGCACAGAGAAAGTCTTTGCTGTCCTTTCACTGGTAGCTCTAAATATTACATTGGAATCCCACAAACAAACTAGGTTCTTTTGCAAAGCAAAATATATGTAGTCATCGTATTTTTACAATCACATGGCATGGTTGTTACTGGCATTTCATTTTTGTTATAGAGGAAACAGTCTTAGCATAAATAATTCCTCAGTTTCATGCAGCTATCACATAGCAGAGTCTGCTCTCAATTGTCTCACTTCAAAGCCAACGTGTTTGCTATCCCCTTGTCTTTTCCCCCCTGAAATAACATTTCACATTAAGTGTCTTAGTAAATTCTCACTCATTTCATTAATTTTGCCTATAGACATGCTCCTTCCTAACCATAAACTGTCATTGCTTGATCATATTTTAATTTTTTAATTAATTTATTTATTTATACAAGCACTGGTTACAGCGAGAGGCACGGGAGGGTGAGAGAATTCACCAGAGCCAGAGCGGTGAGTAGAACAGGCAGAAGGACCGAAGTACACTGCTGAGGGGAGCAGCGGGCGGCAGGAGAGGTCTGCGCACCATGTGGGACCCTAACCTGGTGGCCTGGGATGGATCTGGCGCTGCAGAGGCTGCGGGCAGCTTTGCAACCCAGCATTCAACCGCTGCACCACCGGGGAGGCCTGATCATATTTTAATTTTAATCTCTATTAGTGTCTGTTTATTCTGTACTTCATTTCTTGATAGGTGTCTTTGTAGAAACATTACTTCTACAATATTATCTAGTATTGTCATTTAGCTCCTAGTCTGATTAGTCTAATCCATCAATAATCATAAATCTGACACTTTTTTCAAGACAACTCTGATCATTCTGTAACATCCTTTTGCTAGTAGAAGAATCTTCACACAATTCAAATACCGTCTTTTCTATGAAACTACCAGATCCCCTCAGGCAAACAGTAGTCCTTAACTGTAGTTCCACTAAAATACTATGATTTGCTTTACTATGATTGGCTTATTATCATACTGCATTGAAATTATCCTTCTTCTACCTATATTGGAAAGCTCTCATGAGGAAGATACTGCACTGCATTATGATCAAAATTTTTGAAATGTAGGAGGCACTCAATATGGTTGTAGAAAAAAATATGAAATATAAATGTGATGCTTAGTTTTGGTGTATAGAAACATGGAAAACTAACATTAATAATATTTTAGTCCTTTTAATGTATGTAGTATGTAACCATATAACTAGATCATCTTTTTATCATATATATATACATATATATATATAGTTTATTCAATAATAATTCATTCATATAGTCTTATGCTGAGATTTAGAGATTTAGGCTCATCAAAGAAAATTCCTGTGTTGTTTACATTTCTTTTTTAGGTTTATAGTGGTATTATTTTGAAAATGTCATAGGATTTTTGGATGATGAGATGAAAATTTGTTGACATTTGAATCTGTATTCCCTCTGCAAAGTTTAGCCTACTACAGCCAGGAAAAACTCTGGAGAGGTTTCTTAAATATCAAAGAGTGCTTCAATTATATATTGTTTAGATAAGAGTTAAATGTAAAATTACATTAAATGAAATTCAAAAGAAGTGTAAAAGTTGATTGTTGATACTTTTAAGATAAGACAACTCAAATTCTCAGTGTCAACAATGAATAGGTTAAATGGGTGATCAAAATTCTGCATAAAAATGCCATACTGTGATATTTCTCAAAGAGTATATTTTACTTTACAGAAGTAAGCAACTATCATGCTAAGCAGTTCTAGATTTGATTGTAGTCTTGACTCTCAGAGGAAATGCAATCACAAATCAGACTTCTGCATTGTGTGTCATTGACTCTAACATGGTATTGGTTTTGTTACAGTAAATAGTGAAGGCAAAATAATGGAGACCTGGGGATCTGAAGACTCTAGAAACCTCTGGGAAGTTTGAGAAGATTCTAGCAAAGAACCCTGGTGAAAAGGTAGGCTCAACCATTTGTCTTCTTTCAAATGTGGCCTGTGAAGCTCATTCACATTTGCAGGTAGAAGACAAGACACCTCTCCCCTTCTACTTTCTAGTTTGTACCTTTCTACTCCAAGGTAAGCAACTTTTACATGAAATTCTAAGCTAAGTATGCCCTGTAGGCATGTGACTATAAAACAAGAGAACTCTGATTTTTAATTTAATGAAAATGTTATCTTGTTTGGGAAATTAGTTTTGATGCTGTTTAAGCTATCTCTGTAGTTCATTTGCTTATGAAATTATGCTTACCTATCAGTTCCTATGGAAGGGATAACAAAAAAAGGGTCAAACCTGAGTTTTTTAATCACTCAAGTTTTTAATTGCTCAAAGAAGAGAAAAATCACTTTTGTCAGAGAACACTGAATTTCAATATCCAGTATTCTGGTAAATCCACTGTGAAGATAAGGAGTTTTCCTTCTATCTCCTCTCTGTATAGGTAACATTACTACAGAAATAACACTTGTGTATTGTTGTAACTTACCAATATTACATTAATCTGTTGTGTCAAAACTCAGTTCAGCTGAAAAATCTAGGGAAATGTAGAACAATATTTATATCATTGGACTATTGCTAGAAAACACCAGCCTCATACAGTGTATGTTCAGTGAAACACTAAGTTTCTCTAATAAGAAAGTATCATTACCCAAAAACCTTCCACTTCTGTCTTCTTAATGAAAAGAATTACATTTGTGGATCAGAAATACAGTTACCTTTCATATAATAATAACATGCACAAGAAATTGTTTTAAGAATTTAAAGATATAAATGAAGCACTTTAAATATTATTCTGAGCTAGAAATTATGAAGATATGATATTGATTTTAATAATTAATGGTTATAATTTACCTGCATAATTAAACTCAAGCCAGTAGACTTAGGAAAAAAATAAACAGGAAAATACTATTGGAAAAGTTCTAGTTCAAATACATGATGTGCTTTTCACCTCTATACTTGTAATCAAGTTTAAAGAGATTGGTCTACCTTGTACCTTATTTCTGGCATCTGATTACTTACTCTGCATTCCTGTGTAATTTTTTTTTTTTTTTTGTCTTTACAACTTTTCTTTCCCTGTTGCTAAGTCATCTGTACAGAGTCCTAAAGCCCTTTTCAGGGGTGCTGCTGCTTGCCTCTCTCTCTGAATCAACTGCATAATTTTGGCTGCCAGATTTTCTCTTCCCTTGGTTAAAAACTATCTGAACTGGCCTGCTATTCTGAATTGATCTTTTTGATTCTGACTACTTATTTTGCCTGCCAGATGTGTTGTTTTTGTCCCACTGAGCTGATTTTCGCTAATTTGCAGGGGTAGGTTTAACTCCAGTCAGTCTATCTTTGTGCTGGCATACATATGGACATATGACAGACAGACACACACACACACACACACACACACACACACACACACAGATATGCTTACTTTTCCAAGCTAGACTGACCAACTAAATATGGAGCTATTTTGCATAGTAACAGATATCAGCACTTAATATTACTAAATCTAGATTCTTGTTTTGCAATCTTAGCTTTTTAAATTTCGTATTCGTTATCTGTTAGGTATGTGTTTGTTGTATTTTTTACATAATCTTTAATATTTAAATATATAAACTTATTTCAAGATTAGAAAAAACAGAATTTGAGAGTTTGGACTGTGTAAAGCTTCCCATTCTTATACCAGCTCTGCCACTTAAAAATTGTGATAATTTGACTAAATTATATAATTTTTCTGTCTTATCCCTGTCATTTCTAAAATGAGAATTGTCATATTGCTGTAATGATTAGATGAATAAGTGCATGTAGAAAGCTTAGGGCACTATCTGCACACCATACTCAGCAAGTATGGATTATTTTTTTATTTTTTAGTATTATATTTATGATCAATTTGCTCAAAACAGATATGAGCATTTAGAAGATAACCCAGATTATTACGATATTAGTATTTTCATTTTCTTAGTGTGAACATTTTGTTACAGTTTTTATATCTAGTTACATATATTTGATAATTCTTACCTCTATCCCAGTTTAAGGAGTTATAAAGAACATACAACATTGGATTAGTTTATGATGTACCAGAGTGATCTGGTATATGTATATATAGCAATTTATTACTGTAAGAACTTAGTTAACATCTATCACCTCACACACATATATTTTTTTGTGATGAGAACTTTCATGATCTCTTAGAAACTTTAAGATAATCAATAGATCATGGTTAAATAGTCACCATCCTGTACATTATAATACTAGGTCTTATTTATATTATAACTGAAAGTATGTACCTTTTGACCATTTTTACCCTTTAACCCCACCCTACCCCCACCTTTGTCAGCCATCCGTTCTGTTTCTGAGTTCAGTTTATTTATTTTTCACATTTAAGTGGGATCATACAGTATTTGTTTTTATCTGACCTATTTCACCTGGAACATTGTATGTATATGTCACTTCATTTTGGGTCATTTAACTCCAAACTTTGAATGCATTCTGAAACTTTACATGCTTTTACTCCCTCCATCACATTTAATATTTTGGATGTCTCATTCTATATCTTTATCTTATGTATCCTTTGACTAATTATCTTAGCACTAGTTAATTTTACTACTTTTGTTTTTTAATATTTATGCTTGTTTTATAAATGATGGATCCATCACATTTATTTGTAATTACCTTTTCTAATGATTTTTTCTTTAGTATGTTTTCTTGATGTTACTGTAATACTTCCACGTGTGTCCTTTTTGCATTATTAAATCTTCAAGGTCAGTGTTTCTATGTTCCATTTGTTTAATTCTGCTTCTGTAACTTTCTATGAAATATTTCCTCTCTCTATTGATGCTTTTGCATCCTGTAACTCTTATTATTTTTTTTATTCAAAACTTTAATTTTACTTTATATGTCTCTTGTCATTTGTTTTTCTGAAATTTATTATATTTCTTTGATTAGCTTTTCAGGGTTCATCTTTTTAAAGATTTATTTTTATTTATGCATACAACACCTGGGGTGTAGGCTGAGCAGGGGGTGAAAGGATTCACCAGAGACACAGTAGGGAGCAGAACAGGCAGATTTTACTGAAATACACTACTAAGGGGAGCAGTGGGCGAGATAGGAGAGGTCTGCTGTGCCAGCCCACTGGGACCACCACAGGTCTTGTGTATATATTTTCCCCCAGTAGAGGCTGTGCCTCCACAGTGTTCAGCTTTCTCCTTCCCAAGAAAGCCTGTTGACAGAGTAATGGGGCTGCAGTTTGTGTGACAGCCTCTCTGCCCCAGACCATAGCCTCCCAGCATTTCTCTCTACACACCCCTTATTGAAAGAAGCGTGAAAAAATCATGCACTTTTTGATATGATGGACATTTCTCAGTGCTTGGAAATATTGGATCTATATTTCTATCATTTCTCTCTCCAGATATCTATGTTTATATCTCTATCTCTCTATATTTATCCCTTATCTCTATATAGCTGAATGGAAGGTTATCACCAGCAGCACCATTCCTTAGAATTTCCTCTTGCTCTGTATCCTCACTTTTATTTGGTGTTAACTTTTATTTTTCCCCAGTTTTTGGTATATAATATCGTAATGTTTCATTTAATGTACATTTTGCCCTAACAATGACATGCTTGTTCATTTTTTTTCTCTAATATATATATATATATATGTGTATATATATATATATATTTCCTACTGATTTGTAATCCTATATAATTTTAAGATAGCAACCTACAATAGTTTGCAGCTTTTGTTTTCATTTTGGGGGGGTTCATATAATCAACATAAATTCTCAAATTTAATCAAATTTATGAAGTTATTTCTTTATTCTAAAAGTTAGGATTTTCTTTAACCTTTAAAGGCATGATTTATCTAAGACTGATTACTATGAGAATTTGTACTAATTCCATTTTTTTATGGATAATCAACAGTTTTGGATGACTTATGGAAAAATCCATAGATTACCTTAGTACAGTAATGTAAGCCAAGTCATAAATCAAGTTTCCTTTAATGTGTGGATTTGATTATCGCCTTTTCATTCACTACAACTAGATTTTTTAAATCCCTGTATCAACAGTATACCACCTTTATCCCAACTTTATTATAAATATTGTTATCTGATAAGGGCAAATTTCCTTTCTTAAGTCTTCTACCTTGGATGTTCTTAGCTCTTTGTTACTTCATATCAATTTCAGATTTACATTTATTGTCATATTAAGTTAATTACTAAATTATGAAAAACACCAAATTAAAAAGATAATCATAGCCTACAAAATAAGCAAGCATCCAACTGAACCTATAGATTAGTTTGTGAAGAGTTGATGTGTTGAAAATATTGATAGTCATGATTATGAAATGTATTTTTCATGTATCTTCTGCTTCTAGTAAATGCAAACTGCAATTAAATTTGTATATGCTGGGCCTCCCCTGGTGGCACAGGTGGTTGAGCACAGCAGACTGTCCGCAGCCTCTGAAGCATGGGTTTAATCCCGGCCGGTCAGGGAGATACCCACATGGTGCAGCAGACCTCTCCTGTCTCGCTGGTTCTCCCCTCAGCAGTGTATTTCAGTCTGCCTGTTTTGTTCCCCGCTCTGTCTCTGGTGGGTCCTCTCACCTTCCTGCACATCTGGCCTGTACCCTGGTCCTTGTATGCATGAATAAATAAATCTTTAAAAAAATTGTATATGCTGATTTTTCTCAGAAACAGCTTATTTGTTAATTCTAATAATTTCAAATTATTTTTCCTTTTCTGCATAGGCAATAATAATATCTCTTGCGTTATCCTTTCCATTCCTTTTAGTTATTTTTCCTACCACTATTTAAGACAGGGTTTATTTACTACAGTTTCTTCCTTTAAAAGAGCATCTACAGTGCTTCCCATTTGTTCTATGTGTTTATGCATAAACACACATGCACATGTATGCATAGTTGTGTGTATATCACACATTTATAGATACATGTATATATTATACATAAGCATATACAAA